TCCCAATGATTCATGAGTAGGCTTCCTGCTGAAGTCTAGAATGCTGTCAGTAGGAACTGCATCCCTTTTATGCCCTTTGATATTCTCATCTGCATCTTTCCAGATCTCCTCCCTCCCTGCCTCAGAGCTCTACTTTAATACTCTGGGTGATACTGGAGAGATGGGTTTCTTTAGCGCAGCCCACACAGCTGGGGAAGCTGGGCACTCACTTGTTCCTCCCCCTTTTCTCCTGTGGAGGGATCCCCAGCCTCCTCTTTCTCTAAGTTGTGCCACCTCAAGGAAAGGTGTGAGGTAGGCAAGTTCCTCTTACAAACGTGTCCAAATTCATTTGTTTTGTTTTTGGTGCAAGGGAGTACTGGGATTTCTCCTCTAGAGACCTAGGCTTCTACAAAGGCTCTCTCATCAGTGAGTGTCTGCCCAATTCAGTGTTTTCCAGGTGTTCCTGGACTGCAGCCAAGAGGTGTTAGAATCATTTCAGATTCCTGTCAGTTCCACAGACCATATGGGGATCTGTCTGCTTATTACATGATACACAGGTGGGGAAGACTCCTCCTGGGTCCCTTGGAGGATTGTGCTCGATCTCACAGCTCCCACAAAGGTACTTTTGGTCATGGGTAGATGCTGAATTTTAGGTGTTGAAAGGGGGATGATAACAAGGGATGTCTTAGGCTGCCATGATGTTAATGTACGCTCCCCTGTATTTTTTACTTTGAATTATGAAAAAACTTTTAACCTTCAGGAAAGTACAGTACAAAAACTTATGTATATATTTTACTTAAAGACCAAATTCAGGTTTCACCAATTGCTCTGATAATGCCTTTTTAAGAAGGATCCTTCAAGTGTCATGTGGTTTACTCAGGTGTCCCATCTTTTTAGTCTCCCTCAATTTGAAACAGTTCCATTTCCTGAACTTTGATTACCTTGGAATTTTGGATTATAATCTTTGTAGAATGTACTTCCAATTTTGCTTTGCCTGGTATTTTCTAATGACTAGACCCATGTTATCCATTGGCTGAACTGTCACTGAAATGTTGAGTTTTCTCACTGAATCCATTCGGGCAGACATGATGTTGCTTACAGGTGGCCCATGATGTTGATTAAACCATTACTGATAGGGTTAACTTCGATTACTTGATTAAGAGGGTGTCTACCATGTTATCCTCTGAGTTATTTTTTTCACCCTTTATAATTAAATATTTTGTAGGGATATACTTTGAGACCATACGATTCTTCATCCATTTTCATCCACTAGTTTTTTAGTATCCACTGATACTTGCCCAAAGTCATCATTACTGTGATAACCAATGGTAATTTCTCAGTTCTATTATTTCCTTCTACATTTACTGATATTATTCTGTTAAGGAAAAACATGTTCATTTCCCCATTTATCCATTTATATTAGTATAGACTCCTGGATTCCTATTTTGTTCAATGTTGTACAATTATTTCAATTCTTATATTGTCCCAGAATCTGCCAGTGGAAGTCCCTTTGTTTTTAAGCCATGTCCTTTTTTTTTTTTTTTTAAGATTTTATTTATTTTTTTGACAGAGAGAGACATAGAGAGAGCAGGAACACAAGCAGGGGGAGTGGGAGAGGGAGAAGCAGGCTTCCCGCCGAGCAGGGAGCGTGGGACTCGATCCCAGGACCCTGGGATCATGACCTGAGCCGAAGGCAGACGCTTAACGACTGAGCCACCCAGGCGCCCTTAAGCCATGTCCTTTTGATGTGGTCCCATTATTCTTTAGCATTTCTTTCTCACACAAAAAATGTTCCAGGCTCATCTTGTAATTTCCCTGAACTATTCAGGGATTTCAACTATTCAGCTATTTCTCTAAGAACTCTGGTTCCTTTCAGTGAAGAATGGTATTTAGAAACGAAAATGTAGGAACTAGCTATGTCTATTTCTACTGTTTTTTTGCCGCTACTGTGCCATCTCTAGTGGAGAGAGCTAAGAAATGTGGGCTTGTATACTTCCATATGTGCACTTTTGTATATTTACGATCTATTAATATTAGAAACTATGCATATTCATGTTGGTAAAAATGCAACACCACAGTATTTATTCCAATTTCCCCTATCTGTAAACTAAGCTCCTATTCTGCTCAAAGGAGCCTCATGCAACAAAAATCCTGCCTAATACATATTCCTTAGAGTAAATCCTATTCATAAATCATTTAACACTTACATTACAAATATAATGCAATCAGTAGTATCATCCTTTGAAATTTATAATTTTTACTAGATTTTCTCTTGCAATTTCCCCATTAGTGTTTTTGATATAACTTAATTGGGCTCTATATAAGTTTACTCAGAAATTCCCTCTGAAATTTACATTTTTTTAAGGTACACTTTCCAAGTCTTTTCTTTTCCCTTCCCACAGGCACTTTTGAACAGATACTGAGTCATTCACATAGAGTCCATTTCTGTCAAATATCTTTAAATATTGTAATATTCCTACTCATTTTGAAAAAGCAAACAACATCATGATTCATTATTCCTTCTAAGTGATTGACTTTGTTTGGAAACTTCTGATCTTAAAGTTCAAAATTCTCACTAGGATATTCATGTGTGATCTTTTTAATTAATCATAACCAGTACACAGTGCTTCCGTAACTTTTTTTTACCTGAGAGAAACTGGAATGAAATAAGCAAATACTGAACATACATTTATTTATCATATGATCCAATGCCACTACTCATAGGTATTTACACAAGATAAAGGAAAATCTGTGTCCACAAAAAGACTTCTATGGAATGTTCATAAGAGGCTTATTCATAATAGAAGTTGAAAATAAGTCAAATGACCTTCAACAGGTGAATGGGTAAACAGGTTGTGGCAGCCATACAATGGACTATTACTCAGCAACAAAAAGTAAACTACAGATGCATGCAATAACATGAATGAATCTCAAAAGCATTTATACAGACACAAAAGATAACATAACCCATGATTCCATTTACATGACCTTTTAGAAAAGGTAAAACTGTAGGGGCAGAAGCAGATCAGTGGCTGCCAGTGGCTGAGCATGATGGTAGTTACACAATTGCATATATTTGTCAAAACTCAAAACAGTACACTTTTAAAATGGTGAATTTGATTTTACGTAAAATTATACCTCACTAACTCTTACTTCAACAAAGCCTGTCTTTTTCCCATTGCACATTCTTTCCTCCTTTGCTGAAGATTAATTGTATAATTACGGGTGAAAGGACTTGCTCTATAATAAAAAGCATTAAAAAGCCATACTAATTAAAACATCACCTTTGACATGAGCATAAACAAAGAATTTAGCGAAATAGAAATGGATCATGGTATAGAGAGAATGTTAACATTTGTTGGCTTAATAATGAAACCAGAAGAACATGACAGTGTGTATCTATGGAATATATAGAACAAGGGAGTTAAGCCCTGATTGACCTTGTGCAACATCAAGATTCTCTTAAATGTTTCTACATGTTAACTATTTTTCTTCATGCAGAAACCTTCTCATAGCTGCTAGAAGTCCCAGGTCACCAACCACATAACATGATGTTCTACTTCTACAAAAATCCCACGTAGGGCTCTTATTGGCCCATTTGGATCAAATGTCCTTCCCAGGAATAAATGAGAAGCCAAGAGGATGTGGAATCTTCAGGAGATCTACCAGCTCCTATTTCATGAGGGCAAGCTGGTTACTAAAGAAGGACTCAGGGATGGAGTCCTGAGCTATAAAAATACTCCCTACAGGCCGCCTGGGTGGCTCAGTTGGTTAAGCGACTGCCTTCGGCTCAGGTCATGATCCTGGAGTCCCGGGATCGAGTCCCGCATCGGGCTCCCTGCTCAGCAGGGGGTCTGCTTCTCCCTCTGACCCTCTTCCCTCTTGTGCTGTCTCTCATTCTCTCTCTCAAATAAATAAATAAAATCTTAAAAAAAAAATACTCCCTACAAATGATAATTTAGCACCTGATAAAGATGGTACTTCAAACTTCAGTCACACGGTGTTGAGAACTGATTATTCATTTGGGAAAACATTAGATCCTTATCTCACACCTTATCTAATCAAGCAATAACAGAGACAGATCAATGGACAATTAAATTTAACTTAATGTTTATTTCACATATTTTAAATGTAAGGCATACATGAGGTAATGATTTTCTAAGTGCTTTTCTTGTATAGATGCAACAAAAGCTCAGAGTTAAACACTTGTTTCATATGCTAAAGTAACAAATAGCTCTATTTCTAATGGTTAGGCTCACTATATGGAGATTTACAGGGCTGAAAAACAGCCACCCCTGAATCAGTTTCTCATGAGAAAATGTCCTCTCCGGAGGCTTATAAATGTTAGTATATCTGAATTAATACCTCTTCAAAAAGGTGTATCTGTAAGTTGGTTAAACCACTTTTAGCTCTAAGAAACAGAAAATCCCAACTCAACTAGTATAATTAGACAAAAATATATCTCATATAAAGAAGCTCCAGGGTTGGCTGATTCACCTGCTCAAAAGACACTGTTGACTAAACCTCTTCCCAGGTTAGTGTTCTGCCAAACTCAGATACTACTTTAGGATTAAAAACTACAATCAGGTATCACATCCAAACATAAAAATATCCAGCAAAATCAAAGGGCTTTTTTTTTTTTTTTTAAATCAAATGTTTGTTAACCACTGGGAAATCCTGTTTTCCCGTATTTCACTGAATATTCTTTAGAGTTTTTCACTGGCCAGAGCTGAGTCAGATGCTTATTTCAAATGAATCATTAATCGGGATACATTTTTCAAAATTAGGTTAGACCATGAGGATCTAATGTGTAACATGGTTAACTGGAGTTAGTAACACTGTATTATATAACTGAAATTTGCTGAGAGTGGAAATGTTCTCACCAAAAAATAATGTTCTCACCAAATAAATGTTCTCACCAAAAAGGAGGGCTGGGGCTGGTAAATATATGAGGTGACAGTTGCCTTAATTAACTTGATGGGGGAATCCTTTTACAATATATAAATGACCACATTATACACTTTAAATATTTTACAATTGTATTTGTCAATTATGCCTCAATAAGCTGGAAAAAATTAGGTTAGATCAATCATCATTCATTTCCTGAATCCTCTACTGGCATGGAGTGAGGAACAGCTGCTGAGTAGGTAATCAAAAGCCTGTAAAAGCTCCAACAAATCTGTTGCCAGTCATACAACAGCTAACACTTGTAGCATTCTATACAGTGGTTTAGTACTTTACATTCATGAACTTACCTAGTCCTTACGAGAACTCCATGTGCTGGCGTAATGTCAGTACCATCATTTTGCAAAAAAGGAAACCGAGGAACAAATGTTAAGGGATTTGCCCCAGGCCACACAGCTAATGTGCAGCAGAACTGGGACCTGAGCCTCGCAAGTATAGTTCCAGAGTCCATGCTTTTAACCACTATATCAGGGGTCCACAGACTATGCTCCACAAGCTAAATGTGGCCAAGCCTGTTTTTCAATGGCCCATGAGCTAAGAATGATTTTTTTTTTTTACATTTTTAACAGGTTGTAAAGAAAGTGAGAAAAAGCACGGGTAGCCTGTAAGGTTAAAGTATTCACTGTACGGCCTTTTACAGAAAAGGTTTGCCAACACTTGCACTGCACCACGGTTGCCAATCAATACTAGAAGTAAAGGTAAAGAACGTTACTACACACACAGTTCCCGGGTTATATCTAAGTTGGGTTTGGCACATTCAAACCTACTTAGGTTCCCCAAGTAAACATTTGAGGATATTCAGAGATGGGGCTGTTTTCTTAATGAACACATTTCATGGTGGTAAGTACAATGAACTTACTGTTCAGAGCAGCTTTCTTAAAATCAGAGTTGTGCTAAATGTGAAAAATACATACTTGGCCTCTGTATTTCCTGTTACAACTTAAAACTTTTTTCTAAAGAAAAAAATTTCTGTATTTTCTAAATTCAGTTTCCCTCAGTAATAATTCTCTGAAATACAATAAAGTATGTTTTGTTGAAAGCTTTCAGAAACCATGTGCTTATACGGTTTTAGTCTATTAGTTTACCTGAGGTTCAATGAGATAATGCCTTTTTGTAAAGGCTTTTTTAAATTTGTTGCAATCTCAAGATTTCTTAACTCTGATTTCTTCAGTTACAGCCAGTTTCATCTGTGGGTTAGGTTTCTCAACATCAAGATGTTGACAGAGGGGCGCCTGGGTGGCTCCATCGTTAAGCGTCTGCCTTCGGCTCAGGTCATGATCCCAGGGTCCTGGGATCAAGCCCCACATTGGGCTTCCTGCTCAGTGGGGAGCCTGCTTCTCCCTCTCCCACTCCCCCTGCTTGTCCCTCTCCTGCTCTCTCTGTCAAATAAATAAATAAAATCTTAAAAAAAAAAAAAGATGTTGACAGAGATTTCTACTCTTGTGAGTTCATCAACACACAGTGAGTGCTGACCTCTCAACAGAAGGCATTCTACATCCTACTCCATAGAGAACAGAGAATACAAAGAATTGCCATGGAGGCCATTATGTGTCAGACCAGAAGTGAATTACATCATTATACTCACAGCCCATTGGCCAGCTCTCATGCACATCATCCCACCTGAATGCAAGAGCTGCAGAGAAATAAAGACTTGCTCTGTGCCCAGTTTGGTAAAAACACTGCCAGGGATGTCCCCTGTGTGAGTTCTATGATGTAAATTGAAGGCTGACTTCTGGTTGGACTTCCCACATTCATTACAACCATAGGGTTACTTCCTTGGATATACTTTGTCAGGCCAACAGTTCTGAGTTACAGCAAGACGGTTTCACCATCCATCTTTACAGTGTTTCTCTCCTGTGTATTTTCTGATGTGTGGTGAGAGTTGCTTTGTGGCTGAAGGTCTTCCCACATTCATTACATTTATAGGGTTTCTCCCCTGAATGAATCCTCTTATGTTTAGTGAGGGTCGAACTATCATAAAAACATTTTCCACATTCATTACATTCATAGGGCCTCTCTCCTGTGTGTGTTCTCTGATGTACATTGAGGGATGCCCTCTGGCAAAATGTTCTCCTACATTCTTTACATTCAAAGGGCTTCTCCCCTGTATGAATTCTCTGATGTTCAACGAGTTGTGACTTTTGGCAGAATGACTTCCCGCATTTGTTACATTCAAAGGGTTTCTCCCCGGTATGAATTCTCTGATGTTTACTGAGGGTTGACTTCTCAGAAAAGGTTTTCCTACATTCTACACATTCATAAGGTTTCTCCCCTGTATGAGTTCTCTGATGTTTAAGGAGAACTGACTTCCCACAGAAGGTCTTCTTACATTCACTGCATTCATATATCTTCTGCCCTGTGTGAAGTCTTTGATGTTTAATGAGGGTTGACTTCATATGATACATTTTCCCACAGTTGCTACATTCATAGGGCTTCTCCCCTGAGTGTATTCTCTGGTGTACAGTGAGTTTTGACTTTATACTAAAGGACTTGTCACATTTGTTACATTTATAAGGTTTTTCGCCTGTGTGAGAGCTCTGATGCACAGTCAGGTCTGACTTTTGGGAGAAAGATTTTCCACATTCACTACATTTGTAAGGCTTCTCCCCTGTGTGTGTTCTTTGATGCTGATGGAGGGCTGAGTTCTGGTAGAATTTTTTCCCACATTTAGCACATTCATAGGGTCTCTCTCCTGTATGAGTTCTTTGATGTACAGTGAGGGTTGACTTCTGGTAAAAGGATTTCCCACATTCATTACATTTATAGGGTTTTTCTCCTGTGTGTATTCTGTGATGTATTGTGAGGTTTGACTTCCGGAGGAAGGTTTTCCCACATACATCACACTCGTGGTATTTCTCACACTCTTCACCCATGTGAATTCTAGGATGTTTCTTCCAAAGGACTGACTTATCACAGCTTTCCCCACATTCATTAAATTTATAGTGATTCTTCCTTGAGTAAATTATCTGACGTAGCATGTGGTTTGACTCACCCCTGAAAGTTTTCTCACATTTATTATAATCACATGATCTCTCTCCTGTGTGAGTTCTGTTATGTGTAATGAAGAGAGCATTATTGTGGAAGGTTTTAATGCATTCATTATATTCAGGCAGTTGCTCCACAGTGTGAATCTTTTGTTGCTGAATAAAATCCTCATTATGATAGAAGATGCTCTCATTTTTATTAAATTCATTAAACTTCTCTCTAGTATGAATTTTCTCATGATTAATATCAGGAAGCAATTTCTTGTACCCATTGGCATCATCGGATTTCTTTCCTGAGTAGTTTTTATTATTAGTGGTTAACTTCGACGTATTTTCTAAACTGACTCCATCTAGATTATATTTACTGGACATTTTTCTGGAAGGAACAGAGTCTATATACAGATTAAATGTTTTTCTTAATACATTCTCTTTCTCCATAATCACTTTTTTGTTATTGATAAATGCATCTTGCCATAAATGTCTGTCTTGGTTTTCTTTGCTCTCTATTATGCCATCAACTTTCAATTCTTCTAGAAATAAGAAAAACATACCTTATGAATCTGAAACTACTTCTAATAAAATTGGGCTAATACACAAATACCCCTTATACACCCAGCTCTTTGGTTTCAGAGACTGTCTTTTGAGATAAAAGTAATACCAAATCAGCATTTTCCATTCCCTCTACTTTTCTGAGGAGTTGGGGGAAAGAGGTGACAACAAACCAACCAATCAAACAAAGTGATGGTGGTGGAAGAGAGGAAAGTAAAATTGGCAATGAACGCACATATTTATTTGGTCCTTCACGAATATATATTTCAAAATGGACAGAAGGGGTAAAATAAACACAAAGAATAGAAAATAAAGGATTCAGTAAGAGTGGATGAATCACAATGAGTGGAATTCACAGTAAGATGTACTCAATTAAAAAATTATATAGTAAATGTGACATGGAGAACAGGTAGACAAGATTGTTCTTCCAAAAAACTACCCGAGGAATGAAAGAGTTCAGAGAGAATGAATTAGAATCTAGGTGCTGATTTTGTTAATCCTACCTTCGAGAGATAGCCCGAATTCCATCACTATGCACACTCTATTACCTCAAACCTAGTCTACGGGGTGTCATTTTTCCTAATTGGTCTCCTTGCTTCTACTCTCAATTCTCATGGCAATCAGCTTCCTGCATCTCTCTCCTGCTAATACAAATTCCATGAGATCAAGGGATTTATTTCATCACTGCTCTATCTCTTTCACTTAAAACATGACTGGCATGGAGCAAATGCTCAATTAATACTGGTTAAACTAATTTATTAATTCCTAAAAACAAAAGAAGTCCTTGAAAATGAAGGGAATACGAAGCTGAGAATGCTAGAGGAAGGAGACTAACCAACATAAAATATTAATATGACATGGGAATGAATTTCAAGGTACAAATAAAAGGGAATAAACTCTTAAAAAGCCAATCGAAAAAGAGAACATATATGTGTGAGAGTGTATCTTTGGTGAATTTAGGTATGCAGGCTAAGCATCCTTAGTCGCTTCCAAACAGAGCTTCTTAAAAACACTCCAAAGATGCACATACTTGAAACAACCACCTGGGATCTAATTTCCCCTGGATTACTCATCAGGGTAATACTGGCTTGCAAATTCTTTCTCTAACACCCATGGTGCCTTCTTGCTCTAACTTCAAGGTCTCCTCTGGTTTGGTAATGCAATGTCCTGATAATGAAAAATGATAAAGGACATAGGAAAAGCTGCTTGGCTTTAGGAACTCAGAAGAAAAACCAAGGTCCAACTTCAGGAGCTGCACAGTGAAGGAATCCACTGGCATCTTTCAGTTGGGAAGTGAGAAAACAATATTCCTGGCTGTCCAAACCTAAGTATCATTAAACTCTACAAAAGATCTACATGCTTTGGGGCACCTGGGTGGCTCAGTCGTTAAGTGTCTGCCTTCAGCTCAGGTCATGATCCCAGGGTCCTGGGATCGAACCCCACATGGAGCTCCCTGCTTGGCGGGAAGCCGGCTTTGCCCTCTCCCACTCCCTCTGCTGTGTTCCCTCTCTCGCTGTCTCTTTCTCTGGCAAATAAATTAAAAAAAAAAAAAAAAGATCCACATGCTTTGATAACAACAAAAGGACATGCTGATATTACTCAGGAAAGTTTTGCTTACCCAATGAGATGAAGATGCTATAGTTCTCCAACATCACATCCCTGTACAAGGTCCTCTGATCAGGGTCCAGTTGACCCCACTCCTCCTGGGTAAAGTTCACAGTCACATCCTCAAATGAAATTGATCCCTGTAACACACATATCTGATCAATCAGAAGTGCTCAAAACTATATGACAGAGTAAATATATCTAGGAAGCAATCCTTCACTATGTTTACTATTGAGGTTATTAGAAAAAGTTTATACAGGAGACTTAGCATAGTCCCTGTTTGGTTTTATATGTGGAAGGAAAAAGAGAAATATAAAATAATAATAGATAATGATAATAATAATAATAATAATAAAAACCACATACAGGGATGCCTGGGTGGCTCAGTCGGTTAAGCGTCTGCCTTCGGCTCAGGTCATGATCCCAGGGTCCTAGGATCAAGTCCCACAGAAGGCTCCTTGCTCGGTGGGGAGCCTGCTTCTCCCTCTGCCTGTTGCTCCCCCTGTTTGTGCACTCTCTCTTTCTCTGACAAATAAATAAAATCTTAAAAAAAAACAACACACACAAATACACACAAGCATAAGATACGTTATATACATGAAAGTGTCCTAGTTTCTGTGGATATTAGAAGACATAAAACACTGTTTCTACTTTCAGGAAGCTTACAATCTAGTATGGATGCAAACTGGATTAAATAATAGCATAAGATCAAGAGAGAACTGAATTTGGAGCTTTAAAGATATAAAATGCCCTAATCTGGTTATTTTGGCATTGTTCATTTAGGCAAGAGTTCTCCAAAGTATTTGATGACTCGCCCTTTTAAGAGAGGAAAACTTTTAAGCATCAAATTGGCACAAATCTGTGGCAATATATATATATGTCTGAATGTCTGTCTCTACAGGTAGTCCATACTTTGTATGGTCCTGACATGCACAAATTTCAGTTACCACAATTTATTTAGTTAAGTAACAACAGTCCCCCAACAACACTGTCAGATTTCAGTTACTATGGTAACTCTGAGTAATCACATAAAGTACAAACTTTGCTGCTTGCTCTTCAATCTACAAATCACTACATAAATAACAAACACCATGAATAATTATCAGCCATGTCATTTTTTTTTCAAAGTCCACCAGCGACTGATCACTGCACATCTGTTACTTAGTCCACACACAAACAACAAAACACATGTTCCCTCCTTGTCTCCTGGCAATACGGCATTTTGCAAAAATAGTTGAATGGTTTGCAAAAGGGAACTGGCCAACAAAGATGAAAGAGCAGCAAAGAAATGAGACGTGATTACATTAGAAGTGAAATTCAAGTCAAATATAAATGGGGTTTTAGAAGAAATACCTGACTGTAGGAATGTTAATACTGCCTCCATTTGAGACACTCTAGATCTACACCCAAAGGATCTTAATGAAGAGGTACTTAGTACTAAATATTATAGTATTTTTTCATTTTTATACACATTTTTAATGTTTTGACAAATATTTTTAAAGATATTTAAACATCACAGAACAACTACCACTTTCCCCCATGATTAAGATTGCTTTGCATGGTTTCAGTGTATGTGCCCATTTTTATAGCCCCACACGACAGTGCAAAGTGAGAACTGCCTATGGGTGGCACGTATGTGTCTGCATACATTCAGTATATAGTATATATGGCCATCATCTAAGCTCAAAGTGGATAGTGTGCTGATTGATTGGCTGAGGAATAAACTGAAGGAGTGTCAGACCACTCTGGCATTTGTCACTCTGTATAAACACAGCTGATAGTTTAAGGATAAATCAGATTAAAAAAAATGTTTTAGGTAAATGCTTCAGGGGCTCTAGCAATGGCCAAGTCAGCCAGAAAGAAAATGGATACTGGTTTTGTTTTAAGGCAGGTCTTTGATGAGATAGATCATGATGGTCTAAATCCACAGTATGGGAAATGTCCACTTCAAAAATCAATAGTCTCTTGAAGTTGCCTATATACTCCCTGCTGATAACCTGAAAGGAAATTCACCAGGTTATATCCTTCCAACAATTCCCTTTATAAATCCTTGAAGTCAGTTCTTTCCCTGAGGAGAGAAAACAGATAAAGGAACAGCATTCTGTATTTCTGAATAAACTCACAATAGCTACCTACATGAATCAAACCAAATCTTCACATATAAATATAGATGGACAATGAAGGTTCACTAGAAATTTAAGAACAGGTAACACAAAAGACATGCACCAGATGAAGTGAAAAAGTGAGTAAGAAGAAAACAAAACTATGTAATTATTATGATTCCAAAAATAGGAAACGACTGTTTTTAAAGACACTGGAGATTAACAGTACTCAAAAGAACGTCACTTCACCTCACACCCATTAGCAAACAAAATAAAAGCGTTGGTGAAGCTGTGGAAAAACTGGAACTCTTGTGCATGTTGGTGGGAACATAAAATGGTACAGCCACTATGGAAAACAGTATGGTGTGTTCTCAAAGAATTAAAAATATAATTACCATATGTTATTAGTTTGCTAAGGCTCCCATAACAAACTACCACACACCGGATGGCTTAAACAAAAGAAATTTATTTTCCCACAGTTCTGGAGGCTGGAAGTCCAAGATCAAGGTGCTAGCTCACTGACCTCCTCTTATCTATAGACATTTTAATCCAACTACCTTGGAAATTACAGAGAATAACCAGATAACTTAGTCATGTCTAAATACTGCACCTGTTAATAAAGGATTTTAAAAAATTTATATTAAAAAACAATTCTGGGGCGCCTGGGTGGCTCAGCTGGTTAAGTGTCCGCCTTCAGCTCAGGTCACGTTCCCAGGATCCTGGGATGGAGCCCTACATCGGGCGCCCTGCTCAGCAGCAAGTCTGCTTCTCCCTCTCCCTCTGTGATCTCTCTCGTTCTCACTCCCTCTCAAGTAAATAAAAATCTTTAAAAAAATAATTAAAAAAATTAAAATTTTAACGATTCTGATCACTTCTATAAAACATGAGATGTGGGAGGAAGGGACAGTAAAACATGCAAAAGATCAGGTCAGGTCTAGAAAATAAAAATTCTTGATGTTGATGGAAAAAATACAAATATAAACCTATGTTAACTGTTTCCAGGAGAACCAATGGAAAAAAATACTGAATTTTCAAACCACTGGAAGGGAGAAATATAATCGACAGAGAAAAATTAAAGAAAGGAAAGAAGATGGGATAAATAAAAATACAAATAAAGATGGAGGAACTAAAACTAAACATCATCAGTGAGCACAATAAATGTTAAAGAGTTAAATACCCAATATAAAAGGAAATCTCATGTCATGCATAAAAACGATCCAGCCAAGTACTGTTTACTAGTCACATGATCATAAAAATGCACATATTTATTTATATATGTATATATGCATTTACTCATACATACACCCCATTTATATTAACACATATATACGTATACATACAACACATACATACAACACAACAGATCACTGTTATCTTCTTATAGGACTTGTAATGGTTAGTTTTATGTGTCAAGGGCGCCTGAGTGGCTCAGTTGGTTGAGTTTTATGTGTCAACTTCATAGGCTACAGTATCCAGTTATTTCATAAAACACTTATCTAAGTGTTGCTGTGAAGGTATTTTATAGATGTGGTTAATATCTACAATGGGTTGACTTTAAGTAGATTACCCTCAATAATGTGGGTGGGCCTCATCCAAACAGTTAGAGGCCTTTATGAGCAAAAACTAATGTTTCCCCCAAAAGAAGGAATTCTGCCTCAAGACTGCAGCATTATGTCCTGAGTTTCCAGTGTGCTGGTTAGATTTGCCAGGCCCCACAATCACATGCACCAATTCCATAAAACGAATGTATACATATGTGTATTTACATGTGTCTATATTATATGCTATCTGTACACACACACACACACACACACACATCCTATTGGTTCTGTTTCTCTGGGGAACACTGATACAAGGGCTTACAAAATATTTATTTTTCTTCATCTTTGTTTTTTTCTCCATTCTATCTCCTGCCTCTCTCCCAAAAGCCACCAGAAGATGGAAGAGATGGGGGATGGAATCTCCTCTAGAAGCTTAAGCAGGAGCACATCCCTGACAACACCTTGATTTCAGACTTCTAGTCTCCAGAACTGAAAGAATAAATTTCTATTGTTTTAAGCTACTAAATTTGGGGTAACTTGTTATAGTATCCACAGGAAACGAGTATACCAACTCTTTGCAAAAACCATACAGAAAATCAACAATTTGCTTTGCTCAGTAAGAATATATCTGACCAGCAATAGCTCTCACTTAAACAAGCACAACATTCAGCATTTGAATTTCAAATTGAGTGGTTGTGCATCCTTTGAAATAGTTAAAAATCCACAGAATATGAAATCAGTCAAGAAATAATAAGGTAAGAATTATAACAGACCAAAGATAATCACATGAGGATAAGCTTTGCTAAAAGGCAACAGGAAAAGGACAATACTGTAAAGCAGACAAAAGAAATCATCAACCTGAGGGGCACCTGGGTGGCTCAGTCAGTTAAGTGTCCTGTCCGACTCTTCGTTTTGGCTCAGGTCATGACCTCAGGGTCGTGAGATAGAGCTCCACGTGGGGCTTCATGCTCAGTGGGAGTCTGCTTGAGATTCTCTCCTCTGCCCCTCCCTTCTCAAATAAATAAATATATCTTAAAAAAAAATCATCAACTTGAATCAACTAAGTTATGCTTTGGCCTTCTGCTCTCTGCACCCACTAAAGAACAATCAGAGGTGAAGATGATGGGCAGCATTCATCTCAGACTTGTTAACTGAGATTGTCAACTATCTTACTTTCAGGAAGACAGAATTTTTTCAGACTTCAGGCCAGGAAATCTTTGTGTTCTGTGAAGAATTACTTTTATTTTTATGGTCAAGGCAAAGCATTTTCCTTTTGGACAGAGTATCAAAGATAAATTTGCAATAATTATTATTATAAAAATTACTGCTACACAATATAACGTGTAATATATATACTAACGGAAGAACAATTATAATTATCTCCACATAATTAACATGCTGACCTTTCCTTGTTTTCGATCTGTTAACTCTATGTATTCCTTGACAGCTTTTATCATTTTTATCTTCATTGTTTTATGCAATGGAAAACAATGTGAGAAATGAAAAACAGCTCACCTGGGATTTGTTCTTTTTCTGTTCCTTTTGGGAAAGTACAGAGAAGGTTGAATGTACAGCTATGGGAGAAGAAAACAGTAGGTCATGTGAGATTTGGCTGCTATAGACTTTTGAGATTCATCTCCTAAAACCCCATGCCCACCAGACAGTTAAATGTTACCCTGTAGGAAAAAGTTCTTTGGCCCCCGAGAGTCAGCAAGAACCATGTGCAGGGAGAATTCACATGTGTGACTCTGACAGAACTGAAGAGCCTGGTTGAGCAATTTTTCACTGGGTTTATTTCCTAATGATTTAAAATTTTCATTTTTCTTTTAGAACCAATCCAGTACTAATTTAACAAAGATATCAAAAGACAAATCTTTATTTTTCACTATCAATGTTGTAGGAAAAATACTCAAGATATTTGTTTACTTACATTCCTACTGAGTTGCTTACCCTTAAGAGTTAGAGAAATCACTCTGCAGAAAAAGATGAGGTTGCTTCATGGACGGGCTTACTTTAAAAACTGTTTCTAACTAAGCTGCGATAGAACCTGGTGGATGACTTACCTCGTGGACAGTTTTCTGGTCCTGGCACTGCCTCTAACAAACTTGGTGACTCTGGGCAGGCTACTTATATACCCAGAGTCAAGGTTTCTCAGCTCTGAAATTAAGCAGACACAGATGACCCTATTCTATGCCTCTATAAAATCAGGGTAGATGGACTGGCAGCATACCCCTAGAGGGACATAGAAGAGCAGCTCAAAATCTAGATAAAGCGGGTGGAGGCTGAAGGCAGGGCAAGTTTATTAAAGGCTGGAGATAGAATTTCTTCAGTTGTGCCTAGGGATCTCTCCCTGCAGACCATGCAGACATGAACCCTTTAATGAATTAATATTTTCCACACAACCTGCCCCTTACCTACCACCCAGTGTCTACTCACCTATCTTTCCTGAAGCTTGGTCCAGACCTTTCATCATGGTGAGGCGCTCTGGATGCGGTGATAGCGGGGCAATGCTCATTCTGAGCAGAATAAAGAACTGCTACTGCGGACTATGCAAACCCAGGACCTGCTCCTTTCTAGGAGTATCCTGCCTCTGCTCAAAAGCTGTGGCTGAGAAGTCTGAGGTCCAAGGAGTGACCTTCAAGGTGAGATTCCTGTTCCTGGGGCTTCCTCCTTCTTACTTCATAAAAGCTGCTTTCTTCCAAGGGAGGGGGAACCTAGGCTTAAAAGACAAAATCATTTATTTAGAAGTTTGATTCAGGGATCAAAATCTCACAGAACTTATCTGCCTAAACTCTAAGGCCACTGAGGATGCTGAAAGTTGGACAGTGCAGTAAATTATGCAGTCTGATCCAAGGGTTCTGACATGCCAAGAAATCCCAAAATACATGACCACAAGGTGAGATTCAGTGCTCACACACTTTGGGGTTGTTTCCTTGGGCCCTAAAGAAGGTGCTGTGAGAAATACGAGGGTTTTCAACAGGGTTGTCTACCAAACTGTGAGACCTTGAGTATTTCACTTGAGCCCTCTGAGCCTCAGTTTTCTTGTCTGCCAAGACAGAAAACAGTTACATTAAAGGCCGTTATTAGGATTAAATAAAATTTAGCCAACGAAAAGGAAAAATATCTTCCAAAAACCTTAACAGCTAATATTAACTAAGCTCTGCTCCGAACGTTAAAACTGAAAATGCTATTTTAAAAACATGTGTAAAAAATTTTAATCCTCAGAACCCCACGTAGCACATAATCTTGTTTTACACATGAAGAAACCTACTCTCACCCATCTTCGTCATCTTGCCAGCAGTAAACCAGCTTCCACCCGGCTCCACCTGGATCCAAAGCTCACGCCCCCTTCCCGCAGCCCCGCCGACGCCGCGGCCCCACTTGGACGCCCGCGGCCCCCACGGGACAGAAGCGCCGCGCCCCGCCCGGCCGTCCCTCCCCGAGGCCGCCCCCACCCGCCTTCGCCTAGCCCCCTCCCCTCGGCCGCCCCCGCGGGCGCTCGCCCATCTGGCCTGGGCTCACCGGCCGCCCCCACTTGCGCAGCGCCAGCCCCCCGCAACGCTCCAGGATTTCCTCCGCGGGGCGGGGAAACCCGCGGAAAACACCTGGAGACCGAAGTTACACATGCGCACAAGCAGCCTCGGAGAACATGGAAGACCCTTTCCCTGAACCTGCGCCGTGTGAGACGAGGAAACGTAGGACTACGTTTCCCATAAGCCCTGGCACCACGCCTCGTCTGCAGAGTTTTCCCCCGGAGGGCAGAGGTGCTCTCAGGGCTTCTCCCAGGGGTTTGCTGGGCCTGGTTCTTTCTGGCCCGCAGGGCATTGCAAAATGATGCAGTGTGATGCGAGGTTGTTGAAGGAATTATGAGAGAGTAAGCTGTAAAGAACATGTCAGGGACCACTAGGGAACCGTGAACTATATGGTTACAATATAAAATGGTTCATTTTGGCCTGAGTAGAATAGTAGAATAGTATCTCCTTGCCTCCAAATTCATGTCCATTAAGAGCCTCAGATTGTGACTATTTTTGAATAGGGTCTTTGCAGATGTCATTAGTTAAGTTAAAATGAAGTCATACTGGATTAGGGTGGGCTCTGATGACTGGTGTCCTTATGAGCAAAGAGAGGAAACAGAGGCATGGGAGAATGCCTTGTGAATGTGGAGACAGATTGGAGGGATATGGCTACAAGCCAATGGGTGTCAAAGACTGCCAAAAACCATCAGGAGTTAGGAGAGAAGCATGGAACAGATTCCCTCTTAGAACCTCTAATAGGAAACAACCCTGTTGACACCTTGATTTTGAAGCGGGCATCCATCTTGTTAGTTCGGATGAAATAATGAACACTAGGGGTCATATTGCTCCCAGGCGCAGCTGGACCAGCCAGGGAACACACAGATCCAGGACCAAGAGATAGGAATGCTTGTATCATTCAAAGGAACATGAAGGAAAGCAACCCCACTAGCTTAGCACACACAAGCAGATACAAGCAGCTGATTAGCACTCTCCTAAACACATAATCACCAGATGTACCTAATGAAATCTCTAACATATATAAAGATATTTTTCAGGGGCGCCTGGGTGGCTCAGTTGGTTAAGTGACTGTCTTCGGCTCAGGTCGTGATCCTGGAGTCCCGGGATCGAGTCCCACATCGGGCTCCCTGCTCAGCGGGGGGTCTGCTTCTCCCTCTGACCCTCTTCCCTCTCGTGCTCTCTGTCTCTCATTCTCTCTCTCTCAAATAAATAAATAAATAAAATCTTAAAAAAAAAAGATATTTTTCAGATTCCATCTCTATCTTGAGATAGAACAGACCTCTGTGGGACCAGATGAAGTGGCGCCAGAAGTAACTATTATCTGTTAACATTACTTCCTAGGCCTCCAATCAATAGCATCCACCTTCTCAGGAAACCCCTCCCCCAAATTTTGCCCTTAGAAGGTGTCACCTGTAAGTTTGAGACTTTGAGCATTAGCTTCCCATTCTCTTGGGATGCACCATACCAATAAATAGCTTATCTTTCTTCACTGCCGAAGCTCAGTGTCAATCTTTACTGGCTTGCTCTGTATGGGGCAGATGAACACTGGTTTGGTTCCAGTATAATTTCAGACCTGTGAGAGAATACATGCCTGTTGTTTTAAGCCACACAAGTTGTGGTGCTCTGTTAAGGCAGCCCTAGGAAACTAGTACACCATTCATGTGGAATGGGCACTCTAGGCACATTTGTCAGGCTTCCCTAGGCTGAATCACTAAGCTTTGATTTTGGTCTCAGTACTGGAATATAGACGCTCATCCTGTGTGATGGTATATCCAGAGGTCTATGGTCTTCTCTGGATGGCTCAGGTCTGATCAGCCTAAACTAACATCTGTTGGTTTCAGTGATGTTCATTGTCAAAGGGACCTTTTCCACTGGAGTCCACATGGGTGACAACAGGAGTAAGGGATCCTATACAATCTGTTATCACAATGTGTGACCCCCCAGGGGCTTAGGACTTGATCCTGCTGCTAGGTACTGAAGCACCCTGCCATCCTGTTGGCTATTGTTCATGAGTCAGTGAAAATGTAGCAAGATGTGTTTTGGGGGAGTGTTTTACTGGGCAAGCACTACAGCCTACAACTTGGACCATTGGTGGAATTTTATTTTGCATATAAGGTTTGTAACAGTTTTCTCTGTGGATACACAGGCATAGTGGCTCAGTGCACTACCAGCCTTTAACTTAGCTAATCTGTTCATCATCGAAGTCCAGGCCTCCTCAGGGACTTCAGTGTTCCAACACCCCCAAGAAGCATAAGGTGCTGGCACGGACTCCAACCTCTGAGAAAGCCTTATCTGCAGAGGTAAATGTCCACCTGCATAAAGGTGGGAAGTTTGACTGGTGCCTGACTGGTGCTCTAGTGTGCACAGTGGTCGGTCACTGACATTTGCAGCTCAAGAGACTTATTAGGACTGACTGACCCAAGTGGGAGAGCCCACCGTAGAGCCTCGTAAATCGTTAAGTACCCCATCTCTACCAGCTCTTTATCAGGATGTTAATTCATCCCCCCATCTTGTACTGCTTTACTGATATTACATGGCTGGGCTGGGAGAGCCTCGCTGGGCACTTGTCCCAGTACCTCTGTCCGAACATTCCTTACAATTAAGAGAAACATCACGCATACTTAAAATATCAATTTTTACAATACATTTAGCAGTATCAGTTACAGCCACTTGGATGTGTGGACTGTCCCTTTCATAAAACATGAGATGGTTTAGTTTCAAAGGCTGGAAAAGCCAAACATGAAAATGTCAATAGAAGTGAGACATCACTGACAAACCATCAAAGGTTTAATGTAGTCAATCTATGAGGATCTTGAGTCCCCTCCCACTCTCCACCAAATGTGGCCTTCCCTCTAGCCACATGTCCCCTATCATTGTATTTTGTAAACAATTTGTTTTCAAGTTTTACAGGTCTGTGGACAGAGAATAATTATGCCCCAGAACAGCCTATACCTAGAATCTCACTGATTTCTGATTTAGATGATTTAGAATTTGGGATTGGGGACTTTTTAAATTATTATATTTAGATGAGATTTTGGACTTAGAGTTAAGGCTGGAATAAATTAAGAATTGAGGGGTATGTTGGGACTTGGTGAATGTATTTTGCATAGGAAGGACATGAATTTTGAGGGGTCAGAGGGCAGACTGTTATGGGTTGAACTGTGTTCCTCCAAAAAGATATGTTTAAGAGCTAACACATGGTACCTGTGAATGTGAACTGATTTGGAAACAGGGTCTTTGCAGATGTAATCAAGTTAAGAGGAGGTCATACTGGACTAGAGTGGGCCCTAATCCAATGACTGGTGTCCTTATAAGAAGGAAATTTAGACACACACCATGTGATCATGGAGATAGAGACAGGAGTGATGCATCTACAAGCCAAGGAATGCTAATGACTGTCAGCAACTACCAGAAGCTTGGAAGAGGCAAGGGAGGAGTCTTCCCTAGAGGCTTCAGAGAGTGCAAGGCTACGCCAACACCTTGATTTTGGGTTTCTAGCCTCCAGAAGAGAGAATAAATTTCTGTGTGTAAGCCACCTAATTTGTGGTACTTTGCTATGGAAGCCCAAGGAAACTAATACAAATGGCAAAGGAAATCCAGGGCACACAGCCTGGGGCACCAGACCTGGCAGGTCCTGGCAGACAGACTATCCAGACCCTCTACCTTCCTTTTGAGGATACCTTCGGGCATTGATTATTCAGGTATGGCACAGCAATTCTCATTCACACAGCAGATGCAGGCCATACTATTCAAGAGTTCCTGAGTAGACTATATTACACCCTTTAGTTCCCAAACACATCATGTCAAAGAATAGTGCCATCTCTGTTGCCAAGAATACTTAGCAGTAGGCAAATCTCTGCAGCATTCACTGGACATATACTTCATATCACACCCAGGAAGCAGTTACCATTAAAATATAAAATGTACTATTAAAGGAGAACCTAAAAAGCTAAGTAGACAGCTAATACTCCCAGTGAAGCACACACTTAAACAGAAAGTATGTGCTCTCACTGTGGCAATTTTCCAAATGGGTGCCTCCCTGCTAGATAAATTATGAGGTTGGGATATGGTGAAAGAAGAGGTACACTAGCTGTATGAGACCCAAAACACATAAATAACCCTTCTCACTCTTAGTTTCCTCTTATCTACCTCTGAGAAACTGGACTATAGGAACTTATGGGTGGTA